ACTCTTAAGATTCTTCTGTATCTGTTGACAAGAGGGGTCTCAGATCTAGAGCTGAAAGAGATCTTAGAGGCCACCTAATGTCACTCCCTCGTTTTACAAATAAAGATACTGAGGCAAAGAGTGGTGAAATGACTTGCCCAAGGTTATACGTCTGAAGTGGAATATGAACCCAGGTGCTAGCTTCTAAGTGTAGTTCCCAGTCTACAACACCATACTACCTTAGACGTCTGACAGATTTACGATGAATAATCTGCTCATGGATACCTAGAATTGGCTAAATAAATGAATGAAAGAAAAAACATTTATTAGGCCCTTGTTCTGTGCCAAGTACCATACTAAAATCTGGGAATAAAATTACAAAAAGTGAAGAGAGTCCCTGTGCTCAAGGAGCTTATACTCCAGAAGGGGAGACAAAGAGGGAGTAATAGAAAGAGTAATCATTGCTCATGTTTATGTAGGGCTTTAAAGTTAAAACAATCCTGTAAGGCAGGCTGTGGGAGAAGCCTTAGCCCCTAAGTGATTAGATACTGACCATCAGATAGAGAACTTGATGGGGTAGCTAGGTGGCGCAGTGGGTAGAATACCGACCCTGGAGTCAAGAGGACCTGAGTTCAAATCTGGTCTCAGACCAGATACTTGATACTCACTAGCTGTGTGACCCTGGGCAAGTCACTTAACCCCATTGCCTAGCGAAAAAAAAAAGAGAGAGAGAGAACTGGACCCAAGGACTCTTGACTGTAGCTCTACCTCTGTTTCTGCTTACTACGTTGCCTCTCTATGAATTGCTCTTTACCTCATTTTCTTCTGTAAAATGACGGGGTTGGTGTAGGTGGCTTTTAACATTATATATATATGTGTGTGTGTGTGTATATATGTGTGTGTGTGTGTGTGTGTGTGTGTGTGTGTGTGTGTGTGTGTGTGTGTGTGTGTATATATATATATGTATATGTGTGTGTATATATATATGTGTGTGTGTATATATATATATATATATTATATATATATATATGTATATGTGTGTGTGTATATATATATGTTCTAGATCCTTGGAAAAGGAGCAAGCACCTAGAGGCTTGGTCATTGTTTATACTCTCTGAAGGTGTCTCTGAGGTCCATTATGCTGATTATTCTGAGGTTTATTCATCAGGCCATGAGATTAGATTTTCCTTTAGTTACTTCTTCAAACCCCAAATACCCAAATGAAGGTAATTCTTTTCCATACAGCATTAACTGTGCTAAGCACTAGAAATTAACTAGGTCATTTGGATTTTCAGTAAGCATACAGTCAATCTCTTATGAATGCATGTACAGAGACTTTGGATCCTTTAAGAAAATTTGAATTCAAACAGTGTTCTGTTTTCTTTGGGGCCTTAAAAGACAGTCAATAAATATTTATTATGTGCCTATTAATTGCCTAGTATTGTACTAAGCGATGGGGATAGAAAGAGTCAAAGAATTCGCAGTCTAACATACTTAGACAAACTTTAGCATGAGAGTTGAAGAGGCCTCTATTTTGGGCTCTTTGGTCACTTTGCTATTTTTTTTTCACCTTAAGGCAAGCAAGTTTAAGTGACTTGCTCAAGGTCATACAGGTAGTAAGTGTCTGAGGCTGGATTTGAACTCAAGTTCTACTCACTCCAAGGCTGGACCTCTGTCTACTGTGCCACTTAACCTGCCTCTCACTTTGCTATTCTTAACCTTATAGTCACTTTTAAGTCCCCCAGGTTCTTCACCTAATTCAGTGAAGGGCTAGGTGGGCCCTGTGTTCCCTTTGAGTTAATCAATCCGTGATTCTTATTCCTTTGCTTCTCTTATGAGGTGTGCCAACTTCTAAAATGGGTTACTGTGTTTTGCACTCATAAAATATCTTTACCAATCAGCCATTTGTGTCTTTTCAGCCTGAAGAACAAAAGAAACATTTAGAAAAAACAGAAATAAATAATATAGCATGAAAAAATTGTGAAATCCTCAGTTATCATATAAAGATCTTTAGCTCCAAAGAGAACTTTATAATCCAAGCTCTTTATTTTGTAGATAAGGAAACCAAGGTCTAGAAAATCTAAGTTACATGCCCAGGATCATATATTTAGTCATGGCAAAACCAAAACTTGAACCCAGAACTTCTAACCAATATTTTCTGTATTATACTATCCCAGGAGTTATCTGTGAATCATACGTTATTTAACGTGCTGCAGCTAGGTGGCAAAGTGCATAGAGTGCAGGGCCTGGAATAAGGAAGACTGTTCTTCCTGAGTTCAAATCCAGCCTCAGACACTTAGTAGCTGTGTGACCCTGTCTGCCTCAGTTTTCTCATCTGTAAAATGAGCTGGAGAAAGAAAATGGCAAACCACTCCAGCACCTTTGCCAAGAAACCCCAAATGAAGTCACCAGGAGTTGGACAGGACTGAACAACTTTTTATATAGAAAATGGCATAACTGACCTAGTGGCCATGCACTTCTTGAATTGTTTTTCCAGCACTGGCAATTTGTGCTGGCCTATCAGTTCCCTGTCACCTGGTCCCCCTTTGTTTATGAGACAAGTGGTGTGACGGGGTGAAAGGTTCAGTCTGTGAATACTGTGAAGCCATAGAATACGGAGTAAAGTCAGCTGCCATTACTAAGAATGATTGAACTGATGATCTTGACCTAACAGTAAATTACCTGTGGTAACACAGAAACCTTTAAGATTGGAGAAGTTGGCAGATTAGGGAAACTTTAAGCTGCTATTTCTTTTCTTCCCAAAGATTTGAGAAGATTTGTCGGCATAGGAATGGGATTTAATAGGAGCGAAGAGTAATATGTAGAACTTTCTGGCCCCAATAAGTTTTACGTAAATTCAAATGACTTTATTGATGCCTTATTGTTATATCCCCTGAAAATATTAGGAGGGTGAGAAGTAAATACTGAGCTTAAAGTGCCATGATCCAGTGATGCTGATAATGTATATCATGTTCATTCTCAGCAATGATTTTCTTCTGTTTTCTTTCTTCCGGCTTTTGTTCTGTTGTCAGAACAGAATTTCATCATTGAAATATGTTCAGCAAAAAGCCTGCCATGGTTCATGGGAATTTTCCATCTTTCCTATCCCTGTGGCCCCTACTTCTGTCCTTGTTTTCCTACTGAGTTAATAAAAGGACAGCCGGTGTTTTCACAGATGGAGCCCCTGTGTTCAGGCCCTGAATACTGTTGGATCCACTTTGTCTAGGATGATTGTGTAAAATCAAAACTGTCATCTGTTTGAAGTGTAAGAATATGTTAGTGCAGATGAAATATAAATGTAATTATGAAAAAATGATGAACCTAAAAGTATAATAAAATCAAACTTGGCCCTTTGTGAAAAATTCCTTTTTTTTCTTTACTAAACATTAACAAAACATTTAATGCATTAGGTTTTTTCTTGCTTTTGAACCATCTTTTAGGATTAAGATATTCTTGAGGATTTAAATGAAATAAATAATTTCTAAGTAGCAAATCCAGTATGAAGTCTGTAACAGTAGTGTAAAAGAGGCTTTTGAACCAGACCCACCCCAAACCCTACTTAAGAATATTAGTTTCTGGAGGTGTTCTGAAGGTTCTGGCTTTTTTTGGATTGACAGATTAATTAGTTCTTGAGCAAATTTTCTTTGAAATTAAATATCCATGTTAGATCAACTAGGGCTCTCTGGATATTTCCTTTAATATAGTGTAAGATCCATCCAGCTTAGCAGTGTCAAAAAATATATTCAAGTACAGTGATTAATCAAACACATAAATAAATTTGGTGTTGTAGTTATGGCTTCTCCCTGACTCCTTTAAATGGTAGACCAATTCTGAGCTAGATAAATGTAATTACTTAATTTGCTCAAAGTGGCAGTTTTACTTTAAACTGATTATTATGCCCATTCCTTCTCAGAGGGATTTAGTGTGACCTAGTGAGTAGATGATTGCAAATTAGGCACACATTATTGATGAGAGAAGTAATAGTCCTGACCCAGAAGTGTCCTGTAAACATTCCAGATCATTAAATGTTAAGTACTGCCAAAAAAAAAAAATACATCATGGAAGTAGAATATCATGGCAATGGAAAGGATCATGAATAAGGAAAAAACAATTTTTGCCATCATGAGAAAGTTTATTTACAAAATTAAATGATCAAACAACTCTTTCAATGACATCACGGAAGTGGGGTACCATTTTCTTTGACCTGAGGCCTTGATTGCTTTCACCTTGTTCAAATCTAATGAAACTTATTGTGCTTAAAATAACTTAAGAATATATTATGTTGTCCCTTTTAGGGAACTAGATGACACAGTGGATTAGTTGTGTGACCCTAAGCAAATCATTTAACCTTTGTCTGCCTCAGTTTCCTCAACTGTGAAATGAAAATAATAGTAGCACAGGAGTTGTGATAAGGATCAGATGAGATAGTACTTGTAAAGCTCTTAGTGCAGGGCCTGGTTAAAAGCGTGGTTCCTTCCTTCCTTTACTTGGTATGTCTTAGTAAGTCAAAAGTGGGCAGGCCTCTTCTTCTGTATTTATAAGATCTCCTAACTGTAGCCCTTCCATACATACAGTGGTACTCCACTCATATTCCAAGGGTGATATGAAGACGTCAGAGGCTTGTGTTCTACCTCAAGGATCCTATTTTCAGATTCCTGATTCCCAGTTAACTGTCCTCAGCTTTTGCTGTGGTTTGGACTAGACTTTTTTAAGGTCCCTTCTAACAATAAATATATCCTCTGAAGTTCTACTATTCTTTTTTTTTTACTATATTTTATTTTTCCCCCATTACATTAAAACAATTTTTTTTAACATTTGTTTTATTTTTTTAAATTTTGAGTTCCAAATTCTATTCCTCCCTCCCTTTCCCTCTTCCTGAGATGGTAAGCAATCAAATATAGGTTATACATGTGCAATCATGTAAAACATTTCCATATTAGTCATTTTTCCACCATTCTTTATGCTCAAAACTGATATCCATTCTTGTTCTTTGAATTTTATTTTATTTTTCTAATTCATAGGGAACACCTGTGTTTGTTCATGCTGGCCCCTTTGCTAACATTGCTCATGGCAACTCTTCGGTATTGGCTGATAAAATTGCACTGAAACTCGTTGGTGGAGAAGGTTTTGTGGGTAAGTCATTTCTCTTGCCCTACATGTATATACTCCATTGTTGTAGAACATGATAAAAATGAGACAAACTTGCCATGTATAAAAAATGAGGAAAATGTTAATCTTAGTATTTATGAAAATCCTCCTCCCCATTGGAAATCTATGCTTTTTAATACTATTACTTTCCATTCATTACGATTATTGGGAGTTCCAGTTGAATGGGACAAAGAAACTTTATTATCACATAAAACAACTTGGAATTTCCTATTCCCCAAGAGCAAGTCTGTAGTATTGAAACAACTTGAAACTGAGTTAATTCTCCTTTTACTTTCTACTTTGGCCTGTGGACCTGTGATTCATTTGCTCACCAATGAGTAATTTTCCTAGAATAGGTTCAGTTTGTCACTCTTTGGCTTTGGTGATAGGAAGTTCATTCATGGTCATTAGGATTATTTTTTAAGAATTTCTGTTAGAAATAAAATGAGGATCAGAGGACCATCTATGGTTCTCCTTTTCAAAGGTCTATAATCTGCTCTTTTCCTATGTCATTTCTGTACTATATTGACTCAGTGAAGAAACAGATTATAATGTCTGAATGGATTGTTTTGATTGATCTATAGCAATCATAGAACTATGTGTCTGGTCAATGTCAGAGAATGAAAATTAGGCATTAAAGTAAAGTGGTAGGGTTGAATTTATAGAAATTTATAGAATTTATAGAAAGTAGATTTTTATATTGACAAGATACTTGAAATAGAAATGCAATTTTTTTAACCTTTATACATTCTGATCAGTATTACCTTTATGTTTGTCCTTCCTACTGTTTTTTCATAATTAAAAAATGGTTTTTCTGAAGACATTTCCTACTTTTTGTTGTACTGACAAGATGGCTTTTAATGCATGCTACTGAAGTGATATCAGACAGTATGTGCTGAATTTGCAGAATTATTTTATAATGAAACCTTTCCATTTATTGAAACATGTAAGCAGGCATTGTGCTTTAAACATGAATATTGACATTATTTCAGAGAGTGCTTTGAAGATATACCTTAGACTTTTATTCTTATTTAAGAAACCAACTGTATGATACAGTCCTGGTGTGCTTAAAACCTGAAATGACTAAAGCCTAAAAGGAAATAAATCCTACTTTTATTATTGGGACTGTCTGAGTCAGTAATAGTGGTAGTGGAAAGATAAATGAGTTTATTTTAAATGAAAATGTCAGTGTTACTCTAACTTGTGGAATAACAACTTGAGTGAGGAGTGCATAAATGATATCCTTCTCTGGCAGAATGGCATCATACTTAAATGATCCGATTTGAGTTCCACCAAATCTACTTAAATGAGAAGAGACCAATTTTGATGCGGGTCCTTAGGGCATGCTTCTCTCCAAATTGCCCCAAAGAATTTACTTTGGACTCATCTCCTCCTGTTATGAGAACATCTAGGCTGATCTGCATTGAGGTTAAATTTTTAGGAGATCTAGTTGTCTACCCTGCATATAGTGGGTATCCTTCCAGAAAAACCTAACATGATTCAACTTGCCCTCTATTTTCATGCTGCTGTGTCAAGATGAAACTCTTCTTGCCCTGCAAAAGTGTAGATCTAAGCCCTTCCACAGGACCTACGTGCCAAAGACTTTTATACTGCCTTTACGGGTGGCATTTGGGTTCCTGCTGAAACTGATTTTTGATGTTGGAAGTAGTCCAGCCTAATCGGGGTCATAATGTAACTGCAATTTGGAAAAGCATCTTGTGTCCTGGGAAAGCTGGTCATTGAAGTCTTTTTTGAACAATTCAAAATAGTTCATGAATGCCACTGTGATCATATTCTGTTGGTAACCTTAGGAAGATGGTGGTGTTTTGCCAAAGAAGCATACTGACGCTGGCCAGAAGAGTTTTCTCTCTATTGTTAGTTTTGCTGACGTACTTAGTACTACTTAGTACTTAGACCCTTAGTACTACCGTGACCGCATTGATGATACACTTTGGCTAGGAACATTGTGTCTTGTCTGCATTAATTATTCCAGGATAATGGAATCGATACTCCATTTAGGCCGACTGTAGGCAGAAACCTTCTTAATTAATTAGACAGATTTCTCAGACTGAAATAAAAGTTTTCATGGGCATTATTTTAAAGTTCTGTGGTCACCCTAAGGACTCTTTTTTTCTCGACCCAGTCAGCAGCCCACATGATAAGGTAATTTTATGTTGTTTTGGTTTTTTGCTACAGAGCATATATCTTTGGCATCAAACCCCGATCATGCTTTATAAAAAGGCTGACTTGAGTTTTCAGTAGTTTCTATACTGACTCACATGAATGTCTCTCTTTGGTTTTCTAAGCCTGTGGATTTGTTCCTTTTTCTTTGTCCTTTTGAAATGTGTTCCTTTTTAACATTTTTTGAGTTTTGGGGGGTTTTTCGTTTTTTGTTGTTGTTGTTGCTTTTTGCTTCATGCTACTTTTATTTTGCAAACAAAGCATGTGAATTATGCCTACATCCTTTTGCTCTATTCTGTCCTCTCCAGGCACTCTCCACCCGATGGATCTTTTTCTGGGTTCTCTTACAAGCTAATCAAGGCTATTTGGCTTTGCCCTAGTTTAAAATGATCCCATGAGAACCTTCAACAGCATTTATCATGTCATCTGAGTTTTATTATTGCTGCCATCATAAAAAAGTCCCCATTCAGTGTCTAATGACATACACATATGTAAGTTCAGAACAAGACAATGAAATTATTGACTAGCAGTAAATATATTTTAGGGATTTGAGTTGGAGTAGGCATCAGGCAAGGGTGATCATGGGAGTTGTAAGATCATATCACGCAGGATTAGAGGATCGTTTTGGATTGACCTTGTCCAAGCACACATAGCATAATGTGGTGGAAATATTTGTAGACAGAAAATCTGAATTTGAATCTTGACTCTACCACTTTGCTTCAACAGTTCAACAAATTTTTTTTTAATGCCTACTTATGGCAAGACAATGTGCTAGGCTCTAGTGAAATGAAAAACAGTGAAAGAAACTATGCCTGCCCAAAAGGAGTTTACTTTCTTCTTTCTAGGAGAATACTACATCTACAAAAGTAAATAAATGCAAGTAATTTCAAGAGGTTTTCCTCTTGGATGGGACCAATAAATGAGGGAGATCTGGAAAGGCTCTGTGTAGGAGGTGGTACGTTACCCGTGGCTTGAAAGCCCCTCAGAGGCAAAGATGAGGAGGGACAGCCTATTCTGGACACAGGCAATAACTGTGTGACTTTAGGCGAGTCACTTAAACTTTCTGTATCTGTTTCCTCATCTGTAAAAAAATAAGGGGATTAGACGAGTACATTTTTTAAAAGCCCCTTTCCAATTCCAAAGCTCTTAGGCTACAATCTGTGATCTCAGTGTTCTTTGTTTTCAGTATGTGTTCTATAAATTTCCTGTCTGCAACAGGTTCTTTTTGCCCATTTGATTGTGACCCTACTATTATAGAACTTGAGAAATTTGTGATGAGTTCTATTTAACTGTACTGTTGTTGTCAATCATTATTTGTAATTATAGTAAACATCTTATAAATATTAAAACTAGCATATTATAAAATATAAACATTAATAATATTGAAAACAGCTGGCATTTATATAAGGCTTTAAGGTTTCAAGAGCACTCTACATACATAATCTGATTTCTCTCTCACAAAAGCCCTCTGAGGTAGATGGAGAAATTGAGGACCCAAGAGGTTAATTGATTTTCTGTGATCACAGAACTAACAAGTATGAAAAGCATGATATGAACCCCAATCTCTCCTGATTCCAAGGTTCTTTCTATCGTATTCATCCACTGGTTGTCAGGGGTTTTTCTCCCTTCTAAAATGAAGTTTTATTTCCGTGCCAATAGTTTCTCTAATAAAATGTGAAATTACAGGTGTTACTCCAAAGACTCTCATTTTCTCTCATTTCTCTTGCTTGGACTCTGGGCTAATTACTACTGCTTCTACTCCCATTGTCTCTTCTCCATTTCTATTTTTTAATCCCGGTGAAATCTTTAATATTATACAAAAATGTTCCTTTAGTGTGAGGAAATCAAACCAAAGTAAACATTCCTATTATCTACCCTGAAAAGACTAGTGTAAAATAATCATCCAGCTTTCTTCCCTGTATTTCACTCAGCCTTCACTTCTCTCTCCTTTTCTAGGATTTTTAAAATGCAGAGCTCTGCCTGGACCTCGTTTTTGTTCTACAGTAATTCCAAATTGATTCCTTGGTAACTTTATTAGTGATTAAATCAGGATAGTAGATGATAGGGTATTGGAAGAGCCTGGCTGAAGGTCATATGCACCATTCAGGAAATAAAACACCTAATGTTAGTAATGATTTTTTTTCAGCCTAGACACAGGGAAGCACCATGAAGGGGTTTGCTTTTCCCCACTAGTCCTGATTTCTTCAGAGGTGCTCATACCCACCTTTCAGATTTATCACCTTTATAAGCCTATTCTCATTTCCTTAGTCTGTCCCTCCATGATTCACAAGGCTCAACCTTCTTTTCAGTTTCTCTGCAGGCTATTTTATGAAATAGCCTCTCTTTTCTTGAGTGTCACTTCAGGGTTCTCTCTTTTGATATAGACAGTTCAGAAAATTGTCATCTGTGTTGTAATTACTTAGTGCCTTGCACATAGTTGGCGCCTAGTAAATGTTTAGTGAATTGAATTCAGTGAAGCTTTTTAGAGATGATAATATCTTACATTGAGTTCTATATTTTTTCAAGTTTTTTCTCACTTCATCCTTGTAATAATCTTATGAAGCAGAGAAGATAGATGGCATCACATTCGTGTTACAGAAAGGGAGACTGAAGCTCGTGGAGCTTGAGTGATGGAGAATCATAAGATCAAAGATTCAGAGCTGGAAGGGCCGCTGGAGGCCATTTAGTACCAACCCAACTGCAGGGCCTATACTCTTCTCTGAGTTCCCATGATGTGTAAATAATGGAGCCAAGGACTAGAAAAAGGTTTTCTAATTCTGGTCCAGTGTTTGCCCCATAGATTC